TATGACAATGTTTATGTTCGTATCGTCAGACACTTTACCATTTCGTCATCTGCTTAGAGAATGATTTACTCCTTGGAATAACGAACTTTTCTTGCTTTATAGTTTCATCACCTGGACCACAGTTTTGTTAGAACGAGATACAATATCCAAAAAAAAAAAAAAAAAAAAAAAAATTCAGTGTAAAAAATCAACTGACAAACAATACAATTAAAGCACTCTTGGAAAAATTTCAACGTATTGGGTATGTCAATGCTATAAATGTCGGCCGCCCAAATGCAACAATTACAGTTGAGTTGAGTTTGGCGTTTTATGGCTCAAGAGCCAGTTCTGGGTATACTGCGCCAATCATTCATAGGTCTGTGGTCTGGACGGGAAAAGAAGAAAAGAAGAAATTGGATGACAAGATGGAGGGTCGAAAATAGAGAAGGATCACTGGGGTACCCCGGGGTTGTGACACCCGTGTTTACCAAAGATAGTAAACCCCTTGGGAAAAGGAAAAGATCACTAGGGTACCTCGGGATTGTGACAACCGTACCCACCTAAAGAAGGTGAGCCCCTGAGAGGGCAGCAATTACATACAGAGGTGAATGTTGTATTCGTTCAGCAGGTCATCCAACAGAGACTCCAATTTTCAGTTCACCATGTCAGATTGGGCTACAATGAATCACTACTCTCAGCATCTTGCAGCACAACCTTCAAATATTTCCAACAAGTTTCATAGTCTGCAACCTTTAAGTCATTATGACACAAATCACTGGTTCCCAAACTGTGTTATGCGGAACCCTTGGGTTCCACCATGAGGCATACCGAAGGGTTCCACAAATCACAATGAAAAAATCAAGAAGAAATAAATACGTATTCAAAATGGATTCACGTTCTCTATCAAGTTTATATAGTTAGAAGTATCTATAGCTCGTCCTACTCATTAAAACTAAAAATTTCATTTTTATGTTATAACTTTATTTTATGCAACACTTTTTAAACATTTATTTTAATATAATAAATTAATATTAAAAAAAAAACCTCTTTATATATATATGTACTTCCAACTAGATTGAGAATATTCTATTGTTTACTATCTCGAGTTCTACGAGATAATTAACAAAACTTATCAACATGTCAACAGATTTGATGTTATAATCTAAATTTAGCAAGAACAGCATCTAAATTTTAGGTTGAAAATTCATACGAAATACACGGGTTTTCTCATACAGCTATAAACATTTTAATGCCATTCAGAACATTGTGTGTGTGTTTAAGTGAAATATATTTCTTAACGTGAGGGGCTACAAAAACAAAGTATAAAACAAATTAATCTCTGAATACGTAAAGCGATTGCATTTAATCTCAATAGACCATAGATTTCGACAGTTTGTGTGAAAGAAAGTAAAGACGTATTCCAGTAATTAAAATTAAAATTAGATTATAATTTTTTAATAATAAATGCAATACTTTTTTTTTAATTGCCTTTACATAAAGGGCCCATAACAATTTGATCTAATTTAAATATTGTTTTGAGATATATTCTTCGAAATATGTGTATGGAATGGGGTTCTACGAAAACATTTTCTAGTTCTAGGGGTTCCACGAAAGCACCTTCAAGTTCTAGGGGTTCCATGAGGTGAATAAGTTTGGGAACCACTGCCATTAATGCACGCGAGACTTCGCGAACGCAAAGCTGCTGGGAGTCGGAGAAATTGGTGTTGGAGACATTTGGCTATCCGAAGAATTTCTTGACATGTGTATCAGAGAGGCATGCCAATGCACGCTAAACCATTCCAACCGAAATTATTACGCGGGTGTCTGCCATTTTGGTGTTGTAAGTGATGGCTACTTTGAAAGCGTTGCTTTATGGTTTTTGTTAGTGGTGCCATCTGTTGACGAGCTTTGTAACTAATTTTGAAATGGTAAGAGCAATTTCCCTGGTATCCGAAGGAGAATGCACCGAACCATTTGTTATGAACGTTTGGTTCTATAACATTTAAAAAATAGAAAAGTTGCTTCAAAGAATTCGAAGAGCACGTTTATTCCATTAGGCTTAGCTGATCTAGCATCAAAACATTGCAACGAGTTTAATCAAAATATACCGACTGTTGCCAATCGGGTAATCTGAAAAAGGTTAGAAGAGAAATTGTGTCCAGATTTACAAATAGAAATATAAATACAGTTAGATTACATAAAATACAAAATATAGTTAATTACAAATGCCTAAATATAAAATTATGAAATTCATTTTAGAAATTAATTATTTTTCAAATTATAATGTTCTATAATTTTATCACATTTTTGTTTGTTCATTGATTACTTTTCAAATTATAATGTTCTATAATTTTATTATATTTTTCTTTGTTGAGTTGAATAATATTTGTCCCAACACATTCATTTATATCACTTTCCGTCATTTCTTATGCGATTTTTCAAATCGTCGGCCATTTTTGGGACACTTAATTACATTAATATTAATGAAAAAAAGTGATATATAATTATTACATTGCACCGAATATAAAAATAAATTTACCGAAAACGCTCTTATGTATTTTTAATTAAAAAAACCAGAAAATTGAGTTAGCACTTACAAATAATGATATAATGGAAGAAATCACATGGAATTTCGGAATTGAAAATATTCTTATCACCGTCAAGTTAATGAAAAGAATTTGATTTAATTTTAATTTTTGTGACTGAAATCTTACGTGGTTTAAAAGAAAGAAAAATCTATTTTAATGTAAGTTAGAAATATATTTATTCCTTCAAATTTTATAATTATAAGAAATTTAAGATATTATACATTGAAATATTTGTTTCATTAGCTTATTGCTTGTACACTTTAGAAAAAATATGCAGCAACAAGGAAAAATAATCTAATGGGACTTTTGGAAATACAAAAATATTTTTGAACAGTATGGATCAAATAATAATTGTGAAACAAGACTCAATAACGAAATATTAAAAAAAAATAAAAATCATCAGTATATTTGTTTGAGTATTAAAATTGCAATTTTTTTAGTAATTCTTGTTAATCACATGGACGTATCTTTATAATATAACTTTTCTGTAGCATATTGCTTGCGTATAATTCATGTAATTAAATTATATGTGCATACTTTATTAAATATACTCAAGCAATTTTCCTTTAGTCAATTCATATAAAATTATTGTGTGTGAGAGGTGCATTAATATTTTACTTGATTCAATGATAAAGAATTTATTCTTTTCTATGGATTCTACATAGGCTCCATTGAGACTGTATTCATTTCAGTTGTTGATTTATGATAATATTCGTAGGTTACCATCTAAAATGCACTACATTTTATAATTTAGATAAAGGGTCGGCAACCTATGGCACACGTGCCACATGTGTCACGCGGTACAATTCTCAGTGTCACTCTGCACTAATCTACAAATTCGTCATTTTTTTGAGTAGTTGGAATTTGATAAATTTGTAATGGCTCTTCTTGACGAGCATCTTTAGAATTACGGACATTTAAGGAATTACGAAAAAATCTGAAATAAATCTCTAAATATAAATTTACAGCTATTTTGAAAATTATTGGGTGTCATTCCTGAAGAAATTTAATTGTTCAAAGAGAGAAAATTGCAGTATACTCTGCTTTGTCGCTTTTGGTTCTACATATCTGAGGAAAAATTCTTTTCTCTCCTGAAAAATATTTCGAGTCCGCAAAGAAATTGTTTAACAACTGAATGCTCAGACTCGTGCCACATTGGAAATCACACAATACATCTCTGATTTTGCGATATGAAAGCAGAGCATTGCAAGCAATAAGTTAGCATTAAAAAATTGTATTTGTCTTTTTATTTAACTGTAATGAAGGGAAATACTTATATTTTTGTTGCCAATTTCTTATTTGATAAATATGTTTTAAAATACATAATATATGTACAGTTTTAATTTTTTTTTATTAGTGTTGGTTATATTTTATGTTGCTTATTTTCATTTTAAAATATATTGAAATGATACAAAATTAATATATAATGTAACTGTGTAAACATCTCTCTCTATTATTGACCTCTATTCTCTAACTCTATATGCATTATCGCTTGAATCAAACTTCTTCAAAAGTATACTACTGTGTGGCACGCTGAATCAAATTGGTAGATTGGTTTGGCACGCCCCGTTTAAAAGGTTGACGAATCCTAATTTAGATTATAACTGCATTCTCTTGAATGAATTTTTGAAAAAAAAATTCAGTGTTGAGACAGAGAGAAATATTTTTGATGGTTTTGATTTGGTCATGTTTTATTTTCTGTTGTGACAGTGTCACCATCCATCGTTTTAGTGGTTTTCAGACGGAATACAGTGAATAATACATAAGATAAATTTTCCAATTGCTCAATTTATTTACAATTTGCATCATTTTCTCATAGTTATAATTTATTATTGTTTTGCTTTTATAAACAAATATTTCATTTCTCTCTTTCTTGATTACAATTTTTAATTAAGTAGTTAGCAAAAATAACTATTTAGATCTTAGTCCACTTTGTGCGAGGGTCTGGTTTGAAAATTCTGAAATTATTAGGTTAACCAAGCTAAGATCACACACCACACACACACACACAATTAAATCAACATTTTTATAATATAGTAATATATAATGCAGAATTTTTGAAGTTATACTTCTTTTGGGGAGTTAGAGAAATAGGATGAGGGTAAAGTTTTACAATGCACGCGCACACCGTCACGGATGTGAAAATCCTTTGTCTAGAATAAAGAACGGGACAAATCATTCCCGCCTTCAAAATTCTCAGAAAAATATTTCTCTTCACTTCCCTGAAGAAGGGGACACCAGGATTCGAACCGGAGACCTCTCGATTTGCAGCCGAATGCTCTACCACTGAGCTATACACCCGCTTTAGTGCACCTTTGCTTTGTGTTCCGTAGGAACGTATACGAAAATGCTTTGTCTAGAAATATGCAGAACGGGACAGATCATTCCCGCCTTCGAATTCTCAAAAAATATTTCTCTTCACTTCCCTGAAGAAGGGAGAACCCGGGTAGAGACCGGGGACCTCTCGATCTGCAATCGAATGCTGTACCACTGAGCTATACCCCCGCGTCAGCGAACCTTTGCTTTGTGTTCCGTAGGAACGAATACGAAAATGCTTTGTCTAGAAATATGCAGAAAGAGACAGATCATTCCCGCCTTTGACCCCCTCCCCATATTATTGGTCCTATTGTCCCTGTGCGGGGGTGTTAAAATGTATTTAAATCGTGATTATCTCAGGTTTGGCTGGTACGACTGACTGAAGGTTAGTATCGTTCAACTCTGCTCGTGACAGACTTTCGTCCTTGGCCCAGCTTGCCCTGCTAAATATTTTTAGAATGATTTTAATCTTGTTACGCCAAAGAAGTATAACTTCTTACGTGCGTACATAAGTACACACCCACTTTTTTTATTTTTGGGGGAATATAGGATTACTTTTTTAAATGTAAATTAAAACGTTATTCGTATTAATTAGTTTAATATTTGCAAAATCAGATATATATATATATATATATAGAAATTAAAATATAGATTTAACGTAAGGAATTCTAAAAAAATATATAAGTACTGTTTTAATTATTGAAGCAATTTTTCGTTAGAAATTTTTTTTTAATTGCACATATGCGCATAATACGTTTGGGTAACAACGAAAACACTGAAAGAAATGTACTTTTAGGTTCGAGAAAATTGATTATTTTAATCATAGTTCACGCGTGTGTGCGTTGATTACGATTTAGTAATAATAATTAACATTATTAAAATTCTTCTCATATCTCTTAACTCATTAAAAATTTTTTTTACATATTATTTTTTAAAAACAACATTTTTTCTTACAAATATTCAAAAGTACTTAAATTTTTTTAAAAAATTTATAGCCTCACAGCAATTTTTTTTTTATAGTTAAAATAAAGAAAATATTCCTATCCGATTAAACATATCTTGATTTTTCTTTGTTTGTTATGACACAGTGCTTTCAATATTTTAATTTGTAGCAAGGAGAGCAAGAAAATGGCTGATCAATCTAATAGATGAATGGAATGACTCTGTAAAAAATGTCAAGTTTGTTCCAAGAACAACCGAAAAAGACTATGTTTATATCATTAGCGGAAACGGGTAAGTACTGCATTCAGTATTTGTTTAAAACAGTATATATAGTTGAATCGTGTTTTAAATTTAACTCTCCCTTCACCTTTTTTTTAAAAATTAAGAAAGATTACATTTGATATCTACCTCAATACTAGACAAGAATGACAAAACATATTGTTTTCAAATACTCGATTGTTAGGTAAAGATAATTCAAGATTTCTCTTATTTCAAATAAATCCATGGAATCTGTTCATAACTCAACAGGCAATTTGAAAAACAATTCAAAATTGAGGCAAAATAATTCATTGGAGGTTTTACTTCTATAGGATTGTTTATGTTCCAACGGTTCAAAAGACTTTAATATTTTTGCTGTTAGATTCAAAGATACATTGCAATTGATATACTATGCTAGAAGTGCTTATATACTTAAAAGTAAAATGGTTGGTTGCAAAATTGTTTACACAATTAACGAACATCCAGCAATCTATATAAAAGAGACAAATCAACTGTGAACCACCAGCAATCATTTGTCAGTGTGTGTGAAGGAGGCTTACGAACGATTCGGTTTGCACATGTATACGCACCTTAATCAATTTCAGGATCTCCACTTTGTAATACCAAACTTTTGCGAATGACTTCTTTCATTGAAGGTTAGATTGTATCAATAGGGCTAAGTATAGTTGTAAAAAAGAGACCATCATTCAAAGATAAACTAAATTATGATTAATGAAATTAATGATTATTAATGAATTCACAATAATGATTTTTTGCCATTGCAAAATCTTATTTGTTTTTAATAATTAGCTAGACCACGCATTGAAGAAACGTAGATTAATGACTCATCATAAACATTTTGTAAATTATTGGACAGTAATTTACAAATGCAATAATAATTTTTCATTAAGATCATATATATGCTGCTATCTACATGATCATTCTACACACCATAAAAAGATTGACTTTTCATAAGATCGCGCTGAATTTTTAAAAAAAAAATTGTGGCCTTTATCGAGGATTATATTCCGCGTCTAAATAATTGAGGCTCTAAGATCCACTTTAAGTTTTCTAGTGCGGATTATTTTTCCATGGAATTCACAGAGGCACAAATGATTTACAAACAAATTATATCCCTTATTAAACACTCCAGAAAGAATCAAGAATATTAAACTTAGATGTCGAGTCACTTCAAATATAAGAATGTGGAATGAGGGGTATCTTGAAAATGACAAACGCTTTTATCCTTTCAAGGGTAGTGGCTAAAGAACAAACCAACACTTTATTTTTTTTTAAATAAAATTACGAGATTTTTAACAATACTTTTGCAGAAGATCAATTTTTATTTCTCTCTGGTGTTAATAGATGGCAGCACCAAGTCGAATAACCGCCTTTATTGTATACGTTTCGGCAGTGTTCCCCAACATTTTTATCGCTGCTGTATGGTACTGACACCTTCCTTAACAGCTTAAATGAGTTTACTTTATTTTCCACTAACATTACATTATAGCTATTCAACAACTAATAGTCTATGGCAGGGATGGCGAACCAATGGCACGCGACACAATATTTTGGGCACGTCACCGATCAAAACGGTTGCATTTTAATTCAAAATAACAGAGTTCGTTATGAAGTATTACGAATAAACGCGAGTGATCAGTCGCGTTTTCACAGACAAATGCCAAAATTTCAAAGAATTGAACGTAAAGCCTCAAGACACAAATAAAAAAAAAAAAATCTTCTAGAGGGATCTCAACGCTTTTGATGCTAAATTGCATGTTTTCAGAAACGATATTATTACAAGAAACTGCAAATACTTCCCAAACTTAAAAAAACCCGACGAAGTAAATGTTGCTGAAGAAATTTCCTTAACTATTATGTACCCTGATGTGACTTCATTTGATAAATTGAACTAGTCCCAATTCGATTGTTTGGAGATTGAAGAATTTGAAATGCAACTGATTGATTTCCAGTCTAGTTCAATATGGATTCAAAATTTTATAGAAACAAGGAAATTGTTGAAATTGATTGAAACATAAACATTAACAATTAATATAAGTAAAAATGCCAGTAACGGAATTTTGGAACCATAGATTCGATTCCAGATACATTTAACTGTTTGAAGAAGCTGGCTCATGCTATTTTAACCATATTTTCAATCTACCTATGCCCGAAAATCATTATTTTCAGAGATGAATAACATTTAAGACTCATTTAGAAACTATTCGGAAGATGACTCTAATTCAGCATGCGTTCTGCTAAAAGTAACATCTTACAATCCTAATGAAAGAAAATTGTCATCTAATCGACAACACAGAAATCATTTTAATGTTACTTTAATTTGAATTAAACTTATATCTAAAACATGCACTGCTATACAGTGCAAAATGAATTTTTTTAACAGTAAATAAAGAGTTTTGAGTTGTTAGTAATTAGTTTTATTATTTTCGCAAAAATCACAAGTCAAAATTATTTGACGGCACGTCTATACCCCACTAAACATTTTTTTTAAGAAAAAATGGCACGTTTATTCAAAAATGTTCGCCACCCCTGGTCTATGGACTCGTTTTTAGTGGTCATTTTGGCATTTTGTATATATCAGTTATTAACTTCTCGTAAGTAATTTAAGTTAAATTTTTTAAAGCATTTTAAGACGAATTTTAGGTAGTTTGTCATCGAATAGTTGTTTCATGTCTATAGAAAAGGGGTCGGCCATCTTTTAGCTGTGGCGTGTCAAACCAATCTAGCGATATGATTCAGCGTACCACACAGTAGGGCATTTTTGAAACAATTCAAAAATTGACAAATTCGTTGAGTAGTGCAAAGTGCTACTGAGAATTGTACCGCGTGCCACATGCGGCTCGTGTGCCATAGATTGCCGACCTCTGCTATATACCATGACTCCTTCTCCAACACTATAGCTTGCTCTTCCCCTTTTATACAACACAGGAAAAAACGAATATTTTGTTGGACAAGTTTAAGTAAAATTGAGTAATTTGACACTTCCGAACAAATCGCAATGTATAACTCACAAATTCTGAGAGCCTGAGACGCGCGTTAGAAGTCTCGTGTTTTGCCACACCATATTCGAAACGAATCGGAGATGTATTCATACTTTGCCGGTTTCTAAGCAATGTGTGAAATACGAATCATTTCATACGCTGCTGTCTAGTTTTAGGTAATCTACACAATGCCTAGGCATTGTATAGAATGCCGGATTTCATACTTTGCCGGTAACATATGTTTTATATAATCCCCCTCCTTTTAAATTGGTTCATCTTTCAACCACTGCCCCTGAAGCGTTTTTTGGTTTTATAACAATCACCCAGGATAATTGTTTGTTTGAAGGTTCTTTCTCAAAATATCATTTATTTTTTAGATAAATTGAAATCTTATAAAAATTTGTGCTATGTCACATCCACGAAATTAAACGAAATGTAGAGTGATTGCTCTTTTATATAAGTAATTCTGTTACTAAACAAGTAATCTATTATCAAGTACAAACAATATCAGGAACAATTTTCAAGGATCTTAGAAAGTAACATGTTCTATTCATAAAAGTGTTTACAGTATTCATAGTTTTCTAAAAGAAAAAAAAAATGCAGATATATAAATAGTGAAAAATTTCAATTCGAATTAAAAATATATATTTAAAAGATATCACTTACTTTCATCAAAAGTGCCACCACTAT